GCAGCGAGACTCAGTGTGTCTAACCTGTTTAACAGAGAGCAGCTATTCAGAGCGCACCGCCTCACAAAAGCCTCACAGCAGCAACAACGGGCGTCGTACCGGCACACCTTCATCACGCGCCAGACTGAGCGTAGCAAAGCAAAAGTGTGTGTGTGCGTGTGTGTGTGTAAAAGTGACACACACACACACACACAGCTGGATAGTGCAGTGGTAACACTACACGCCTACTTTCAGCTGTAAAGTCCGGTTTTCTTCCTCGGTGGTTGGTTCTCCCTGTCCCTGCGTGGCTGCTCTGATTGGCTGTCGTGTGAGCTGTGAGCGCTCAGTAAGCTTAGGAAAGAGTCAGTTATGTGAATCACCACACTCCTTTCTGTCATTCAGAGTTTGAGTTTGGACTGAGCTCTTTTCTCCTGTGCTCGTGTTTGCCTGTCTGTCCTCTCCTCCAGGTAAAAGCAACAAGGAAGTGATGGATCTGCTAACGTCGGGCTTCCGGCTGCCCTCTCCAAGCCGCTGTCCTTCGAACATTTACCGCATCATGATAGACTGCTGGGCCATCGAGCCCTCCAAGAGACCCTCCTTCCACGCCCTGCACAGCCAGCTGGATTCCATATATGCCAAGATATATTTTAAGACCGTAGAGGTGTAGGCCGCACAGGTATCCTCCTCCTGTACTGGGAGGGAGGGGGTGAGGAAGACTTCTGCCAATTCCATCGGGACTCCTCAGAGGAATCGTGATCGACACTCGGGTTTACAGAGAGAGTGAACGGCGTGGGGGAGGCGTGGAGGTCCGCTCGTACCTGGAACGACGCGGCCCCTCGGCCGATTCGCAGAAGCGGCTCTTTTTAGTTTTCTACCATCGGTTTTCTAAATGAGAGTTTATTACTTCAGTGCGGCGTCGGTCTGTGCGTGCGCACTGTGGACTCACAGGTCACGACCTGAATGAATGACGTGTGTTTTGAATGCAAAGCCTTCTGGGTAAAAATATTTTGTGCAATAAGAACGCCTGCTGGGGTCTTTTAGCCACGCTAGCGGCTCGGCTCAGAGTCCGACTGCTGCCGTCACAGAGCAGCGGAGCGGTGGACTCCCACAGTCCTGATTGGTCAGAGTGGCTTCGACAACCAATGTTAACCAGACGTCTATTTGTAACACGGGCATCGAAACATGTTTGCGACACGAAAAAGACCCAAATCTATGCAGAGAAGCAGCGACAGCCTTGCTCCTAAAAGTGTCCGCTCAGCATTGGGGTCATTAACGTGTCACATGTGATCACAGACACGCCTACACAGCACCAAAACATCTGCCTGCTCGCTACGAAAGACCACAAAGCCAGCAGTCAGTGTGATTACAGTAGTGTGATTACAGTAGTGTGATTACTGCAATGCCCCAAACCTCTGAGAAAACCTGATTCACGCCACCACTTCCTCCCTGCACACATGCAGTGAATCAGAGATGTGTTCAGGCGTCCGTGTCTTTAATGTTAAAAACTGCATACGCAGCCACACCTGCAGTCACACCTGCACGCCTGTCCTCTCAGGCTGGGCCCATGCACCGCTGCCTGCTCTCTGGCTGAACTCTGTTAATCTGATGAACCCACAGGCGTGAAGTATTCTGTCTTCCCTCTCTGAAGGTTTGGACACGCGTTACACATCGAGCCTCGATGCAGCGCCGCGCGTTCATGCTCTTCTAACAGCTAGTTACAGCTCCAGTGCCTATGTTTACAACACACACACACACACACACACACACTGCAGGAGGTGGACTTAGAGACGACACCAACACACACTGACAGTGACTCAGCCACACTCTTCAGGGTGGGTGGGGGTGGGCTGTGTGGGGTTCTGCACCATTAAATTGTACAACATTATGTTGCAACCTGCAATGCAATTTAAGAACAATGCAACTTTGGTCTTTTATGCATGAGCAACAAAGCCAAGTTGAGGAAACTTGAGCCATAAACACCAAATCACACGTCTGACTTCGACCTGTGACAGCGCTGCAAATAAAGTTTTTTTAAACACTGTGGAAACGAGTGTGTGTGCCGTCACTCATTCACATGTCACGGGGCATAACGCCGTACTGATGTGCAGCACTTCCTGAAGTGTGTGTAACCTGTTCAACAGCCTTCCCAAGCGACCGGCAGTGGGTGGGGCTCCAAACTGAGCACAGCAGAAATATCCCAAATCTAACAAACAACTTAAATCTTTTCCTTTGAATTAATCTTCTAACAACAATAAATAAAAACTGTCATGGACACGATTGTACAGAGAGTGTCGATAAAGTTTCATTATTGATGGAATTTTTCTTTAAAGCAGAAACGTGTGCAGAAGCTGCAGAAGCAGCTGAAGCAGCGTTAACACACGAGCACGTGTTAGAGACTGCACAGCATCACAATCATAGTTTTAGTCTGGACACACACACAGACGGTGGACAGCAGCCCTGACCTCTGCTCTGTGTGAGAGACAATTCAGCTGAACAGGTTTGCATTTCCCTTTCAGATATCGTAATGATAAAAACAGAGCCTGACAGTAAACAGCATTTCTTGTCTTGGCCTGTAGGGGGCGCAGCACTCTCCCTGCTCTCTTTCTCATCCCGCTGACAGGGACTAGAAAGAGAGAGCAGATGTCTCCTGTATTGGCTTCCTGTTAAGTCCAGAATTCAAAATCCTGCTCCTCACATACAAGGGGCCTGTTCTTCGTACCTCGCTAAGTAAGTTAGCTGGATTAGATTGTTGACGATTTCGCGTGATCC